GAGGGAGGGAGGGAGGGAGGAAGGAAGGAAGGAAAGAAGGAAAGAAAGAAAGGAGGGGACGGAGAGAGAGAGGAAAGAAAAAAGAAAGAAAAAGAAAGAAAGAAATAAGGAAAGAAAGAAAAAGAAGGGAAGGAGGGAGGAAGGAAGGAGAAAATAAACATTTTTAAAAGAGTTAAGCTGCCATTTGACACATACATTGAGTTCAGGGGCACCAAATCCCTACCACCTCCCGAGCGCAGACAGATTTCTCTTAGTTGTTTCCACTGAGATTATGACATGTATTCCTAGCCTGTTTCTTTCCCACAGACTCAAGTGTTCAACCATCAATTGCTGAAGATGTAAATGTTGATTCAATTAATATCCGTTTTTTCATCCCTAACCATATCACATAAAGTTTCTCATCTTGGCGCTTTCTATTGCTAGATGACCTGCCTAAATTTCAGTTGTTGAATTTAAATTCTACCAATAGGAAAATGAAATCTGACTGAAATAGTAACATGTTTATGACAGACTTGCACAATTGTAATATATTATACACTTTTCTAAAATGATCTTGCCTTATTCTCAGGTGGGCATTATGCACGGCTATAATAAACTATGTATTGGTACATTTCTAAACATAACAAAGCATTTCTAGGAATTACTTTGACACACAAATGAAATATTATAAATAAAACAAAATTTTTTCTTTTTTGTCTAGAAATAAAAGAGAAAATGCATGCAAAAGAGCACCTTTCAATAGAAGTATTAATTGCATTTATATAAAAGTAGATTTTCATTGCCTCGCATTATTGCAAGTATTGTTTTTGAATTAACCAGAATTATAATGAATTACTTTTGTAATTATATTAAAGTAGTGATTGTTATAGTTCAAGGTATTTACAATTTTTAATGTTTTTAACACATTTTGTTTTCTTTTCCATGTATCTTTCACCAGCTGATGTGCAGAGGAGAACATACATACAAACAAATGTAACATATATGAACATATTTATAAACATATACATATACATACAACATCTAGATAGAAAAATCCTTAATTTAAAATAGTCAATTGGTTTTAATATAGTTTAAAGAATACGTTCGTGAGATATTTTATATATTCATAGTTTGTAATCTTTCCTATTATACATGAGAATATCTACAAAATATTTTTTAATGAGATTGCGATGTCAGAAAAAAATGGATCAATCTAACATACTTTCTGTTTTGTAAATCATTCTGTAATCTTTCTGAATAGAAAATTTAATTCTTCCACCAGACAAGATTAGTGTCTCTTCTTCCTCTAATTATTATTTTGATTATATTTTGGCACTTTTCATAATGTGAACAGAAATAAAGAAAATCAGAATCCATTTTTCTGATTCAAGAAGACCTTCTCACTATTGAGTAGATACCAACTTGAAGATCTGACGTAACCCTGTTACCTTAAATGTCATGTTTTGTAGACAATACAGCTGGAATTGAAGCTCGAAGAAATGGATACAGTCGCAGGCAGCAAGAGTTGTATTTCCTCCCTGTTATAATAGAAGACAGCAGCTACCCTGTCCAGAGCAGCACAAACACAATGACTATTCGAGTTTGTAGATGTGACTCTGATGGTACCATCCTGTCTTGTAATGTGGAAGCAATTTTTCTACCTGTAGGACTTAGCACTGGGGCGTTGATTGCAATTCTACTATGCATTATTATACTCTTAGGTTCGTTTCAATATTAATCGTTGTTAATTATTTCTAGCTCACTCTCTCTTTCTTTCTCTCCCCCTTTCTCCTCTATCTCTCTCCACAATTTATCATCTAAGCAGGTTTTTCTTCATTGACACATCATACCTAGCTAGAAGATAATCTATGTGTATTGAATTAACGTTATTAATGCAATTTTTCTATTTCATACTTCTTGGATATATATTATCGGGGATAAATAAATAACGTTATCAAATAAACGCCAAAAATATGTTCAATACCGAAGGAATTTTCTAGTAATAATAGTTTGTGACCCTTATCACAATGAAATCCTCTTTAATAAATATCCATTTACAACAGCTTCTCAATTCATTTTACATCCTAGTAATTGCTGCTGTCTAATAAGAGATTATATCGTCTTTTTAAAAATATAATTCATGAACAATGGATCCCAAATTCCAGTTCAATAAAGAAAGGAAGATAAAGAGAGATCAGAAAGAACCAGGATGTAGAGTAATCCTCAAATTTGTCTTTTCTGTTTAAACTGCCAACCAAAAAAAATTCTTCTCCCAGTTTCTTGCATCTCCTTACATGAAAATTCTAACCATTTCCATGAGAACAGAACAGATTAAAATATCTGGAAACACTCCAAAGGAAAATGATTGAAGTAAAAGTAATCTACAACATCTCTGTGAGAGTGAATATAAACCTATTAGAGGGTTCTCTCTTCCATCAACTCTGTTCAGCTTCCCCATTTATTAATTCACTGCCAGATTCACAAAAGTAGAGGGATTTTCTGTGACATCTCATTCCTTTAAAATCAAATGGCAACAGATATACAATTGATATTATGGAATCAAATTGTACATGCATATTTAATACTTAGCCAAATATAATCTGACAAATATGGATACCTGATTTTATCTCTAGGAAAGAAATTTAATTAATAGGATGTAAGGCACAGAGTAAGGCATTACATGATAGCTTGTGGGGACCCCTCCCTGAGTCAGAAGCTTGTGCTGGCATAGAGGGTGAAGTTCTGGTTGAATTGGCATGGTGTAGGTATTCATTCCACATGAGCAGCTTTGGTGTTCAGAACAAAGTGTTCTTTATATCCTATAATTCATAACAAATTATCCCTGGCATCTCTTTTTGTGAATATAAACTTTAAGAACACATTCAAAGAAATATTTTCACTTCTGAAATTTAACAAGATCGTTTAGGTATTTAACATCAAATGAAGTATTTCTGTCTCATACACCTCTCTTCTATTGTAGCTGAGTCCTGGAGTATTTCTATATTGTGAACGTTGTCAGAATCAAAATGGAGTCACTAATGTTAAGAAAAACCTGACAAATAGAGCTAGGGAAGACCAGGGAGAGAGGGTTTTCAGGCTTATATGCCTGATAATGGAAAAGACTGTAAAAATCACAACCCCGCACATAGGCTGGCACAACCTTATACAAAATCACTTCTGCTGGGACATCTGCCCAGCAACTGCCTGTCCAAAGCTGGACTGTCATCACCTTTGTTATTAATCTTTGTGGTCAAGAATAATTATTTAAAACAATTTATATCCTCCTTGGCCGGGCATGGTGGCTCATGCTTGTAATCCCAGCACTTTGGGAGGCTGAGGCAGGCAGATCACGAGGTCAGGAGTTTGAGATCAGCCTGGCCAACATAGTGAATCCCTGTCTCTACTAAAAATACAAAAAATAGCCTGGCATGGTGATGTATGCCTGTAATCCCAGCTACTCAGGAGGCTGAGGCAGGAGAATTGCTTGAACCCAGGAGGATGGGGTTGCAGTGAGCTGAGATCATGCCATTGCCCTCCAGCCGAGGTGACAGTACCAGACTCTGTCTCAAATAAGCAAACAAAATATGTATCCTCCTCATTTTTTCTTTAAAAACCTTTGTCTTCCTTTATTTCCCTGAACATACACATAGTTTACTATGGCACCCATATTCCCATTGCTATACTTTATTCCCAAATAAATATATTTTATTTCAGAGAAACTCTTTCTGTTTCTTATGTGGATTGACAGTACCAATCTGTAATGGTTTGGTATGTTCTGGATGTTCTCCTTTGGCCTCTTTGGCCATCATCCAGTGGAGCAAGTGATCTGCTCAGGTCATCCTTAGCATGTACTGCCACCTGCCACCCATTTATCCAAATACTTCCTGAGCATACATAGAGCACCAGCACTATTCTAGACATTGCAAATTTTTGATATACAGCAGTGTATATTGACACTCTTTGTCCTGCCATGGGGTCTGCTTAAAAATCCATCCAATCTTTGACCTCCTTGACCAATTTCATGCTCCTTTAGGTCTGCTAGCTTGTTCTCAGCCATTCTCATATCCTTTCTTGGGTAAGAGGAAGCACAGAAAGTTTATGGTGCTTGGGTCCCTTTAGAATGGACTTCAGGCACATCTAGTTAGTTTCCTTCTCAGCCATGGTGATTCTAAGCTCATTTATGTACAAGGCTGCTCCATGAGGACTGCAGTCTCTCACATACTCAGTAGATGAACAAATAACAGTGTCCTTTGTTCTGAGATCCCATAAACCCTTGGGAGGAGTGCAGGTTGCTAAACATATCCCCAGGGCCCACTGTACAGAGTCTCTACCTAGAGCTCTCTCTCTTTCCAACTGGCCCATCTGTAATTTTGAAGGAAGAGAGAATAAATGAAATTTTATCATAATGCATTCTTTTCTACTTTATAATTCTATGACAGGTGTCTTCCGGACTCTGCTATGGTAAATCAAATACACATTAGCTTTCATCCTGTGGACACCACTATGGAGGAGAGGGGTTGTTATGACAAGAAAAGCTGAACACTGATGTCATCATTTGTATCTGTGCCTATTCACACATAGAAGAAATAAACACCATTGATTTAGTGGAGAGCTTTAAATCAACTAGGAATAAAGAGAGATTTAAATAATGAAAGGACATAAATTAACAATTTTAAAATATGATTTTATGAAGGTAACCGGAATTCTAGGCATTTGCTTTAAAAACTGTCTAAATATGGCAGGACACAGAATTGAAGTTAATGTTTCAGTTTGTCAGATTTATAAGGTGCTTCCTTCCTTCCTTCTTTTTTTCCTTCCCTCCCACCTTCCCTCCCTCCCTCCCTCCCTCCCTCCCTTCCTTCCTTCCTTCCTTTCTTCCTTCCTTCCTCTACTTCTCTCTTTCTTATTTATTGCCTTTAAAAATAATTGTCACAGTGAAGACTTGGGCTTATTGCATAAGAAACATAAATTTCTAATTTAAAATTAGGAATGTTACAACTGGAAAGTTACCTATGAATGATAGTCTTATTTATAGATGATTACATTCAAATTTTCTTATATTAACTCTTATGGTTTTCTATATGAGTGGAACAATTATTATATCATTTTTTTTCTTTTGCTGCAACAGACATTTTTTCTCTGACCCCAAAATACTTCAATATAAAGACATACTTGTTTTATTTTATGAATAACTTTGCCATGATTTCTTGTTAGTTACAATTTCAAAATGAAGTTGGCTTTAAACAATAAAATATTTCAACATATGCATGATCCTATTGATTATATTATGTTTACTATGAAAGTAATAGGAAGCCATTAATGAAACGCAGTCACCCCTAATCAATTTTAGTTTATATGGAGAAATGAAACGATCCATCTGCTTTCTATTCTCAAATTGCAATTTTTGTCTTGTTCCAGCCATAGTTGTACTGTATGTAGCACTGCGAAGGCAGAAGAAGAAAGACACCCTGATGACCTCTAAGGAAGACATCAGAGACAACGTCATCCATTATGATGATGAAGGAGGTGGGGAGGAGGATACCCAGGCATTCGACATCGGGGCTCTGAGAAACCCAAAAGTGATTGAGGAAAACAAAATTCGCAGGGATATAAAACCAGACTCTCTCTGTTTACCTCGTCAGAGACCACCAGTGGAAGATAACACAGACATAAGGGATTTCATTCATCAAAGGCTGCAGGAAAATGACATGGACCCAACTGCCCCACCATACGATTCACTGGCCACATACGCCTACGAAGGGAGTGGGTCCGTGGCAGAGTCCCTCAGCTCTATAGACTCTCTCACCACAGAAGCCGACCAGGACTACGATTACCTGACAGACTGGGGACCCCGCTTTAAAGTCTTGGCAGACATGTTTGGCGAAGAAGAGAGTTATAACTCTGATAAAGTCACTTAGGGGAGTCGTGAAGGCTGAAATACAGCCGAGAGGGGAAATTTTTAAAAAAGAAAAAGAAACACATATTAATAGAAAACACACACACACACACACACACACACACACACACACACACACACAAACACAGACTTTCTAGGACAAGGTTCCTTTGATTATCCGGTTTCTAGCAAGTTGCTATATTAATCATATTGTCAGTTCTGGTTTATTCTTCCAACACGAGATACATCCTATAATGTGCACTTGCTTTGTTTTCTTGTTTTGTTTTTTTCACAATCACACTGAGACAAGCTCAGGCCTATTCAATACAATTTACTGACATGACAACCTAGAACGAAGATAGCTATGTGGCATCACGGTGGAAGAGTGTTAGATTTTTCTTAATTCCACTAAAGTGCCTATTGAAACTCTTATCATTTAAAGTGGTGTACAGTACACTCTGCTGTGATGGCATTGCAGGATTCAGAGATAAAGAGGACATAAAACAAAGATACTGTCTTTATGTCAAGAAGCAATAGCGACACTCTGACTCTCCTCATTCTTTTGAGAACAAATGAAGAACACTTTCTAATCTCCACCTTCTTATAATTCAAAAGGTTTTCTTTTTCTTTTTTAAACTGTATGGCAAAACATATTTGTTTTTCCGACCCTTTCAGAAAATATGAAAATATCAAGGTCAATATATAAGTCCTGTATTCTAGAAACGATGTTTGATCTTAACATTAGTTCACATTAAAGCTGTTCATTAAAATGTTACTTTCTTTTCCAAAAAAATTAAATAAAAAAAAGAAAAGAAAAATATATTCCTCTTTCTAAAGAGAGGCCTCAGGGCTCAAATTACACATTAAAATAAATATTGGTTTGTTTAATATTGTACTGGTGTGTGGAAAATTGGTTTTAACGGTAACCAGATTCAGCTTTTAGTCATAGATGTAATTTCAGGCTGTGTTTCTATGAAAATTCCTAGGAAAAAAAGTGCCATTCATTTAAGCATGGAAAGAGAAATTCATTACACAGTTTCTCAAAGTTTCTTATGATCTAGTGATTCTTTGATGAGCAGCAAAAATAAAATACATATCAAATAATAGAGGATGGATTTATAAGATGTCTAAAAATATTTGTTATACATTACTGAAAAAATAAAAAGTCAAGGATTAAAAAAGTTCAAACCAATGACTAAATCCTATAATGAATGCAAATGCAATCCCAGGCAGCAGATATACTTACTTTGCTAACATGGACTTCACCTTTGTGAACACCATTATTGTGCTGGAGCTCACAGCTACCTCTTAGCTCTCTCTTCTACAAAAAATCTTCATTTAAATTCTCCCCTACAAATTCCCTGAAAAGAACTTTCTAATTGGATGCAAATTTCTAAGTCATATTAGATTTTGTAACACATTAGTAAACTATACTCACATACATTGCTTTCAAGTGGATTGCACACTAGCTAGAAAAACATAAAAAGACGCAATCTAATTATAAAATAGATTTTATATAAATATGATAACTATGTAAGTGACTTCTGAAATATTCACACTATATATAAGTAAAAAAAGTTGCGTATGGGTGCATCCTGAAGATGTGGTCAATATCTAGCTGGGTTTATGAAATATTTATAAATACATTTAATATTTGCAAAGTTTTGAAGTTAAAAATTCACACATGGGAAAAACAGACAGAAACACAGATAACACAAGAAAATCATATTCACCCTTATCCATTTATAAATGCATCCTTTAAAATGATCTGACTACTCATTATGCTGCAGCAATGGGGCCATTTGAATCTCCATTCCCCATTTCTTTGTTGGTATCTCCAAATTGCATATTCTCATTTTCTTCCTCTCAGGAATGGCTGTTGATCTTGTTTTGTTCCATCCCATCCCAATTTTGCCTTGTCTAATCCTTAAGAACTGCATTACAATATTGACGTAGTGTGATAATTTACAGTATGTTTGGGAAAGTATTTGTATAACATGTTTTAAAAGCTGAGGATGCCATAACTATCCTGTAGATAAAAATTAGGACAAGTTTTGGGTTTGCCTTAGCAACATGATTTGCTAAGGAGTGATGCATGACTCTTGAAGAAGGTTATTGCGCAAGATTACTTCCCGGTAGACCAGATGATTCTCATCAGGAATTGCTGCATTTTGCATTTTGCTAGGGAATATAACTGCCTCTGCATGTAGTCATTTAGCAGGAGCAATGGTAGCATGGAGAAAACTCGGGAGGGACTGGTCATTTCAAACCTCATGGCTGAGGCGCTAAACAAAAATATGAAATAGATTTTATTTGCACTAAACTATTAAATGCTTTTTATTACGTCAAGCTTTTATTTTTGCCACACCCCTGCATTCGTTTGCTAGGTCTGCCATAACAAAATACCACGTACTGAGCGACTTAACAGAAATGTATTTCCTCACAGTTCTGGAGGCAAACCATCCAAGACCAAGGTCCTGGCAGAGTTGATTTTTCCTGGGAGTCCCTCCTTGGCTTACTTACCAAGGGCCATCTTCTCTGTGTCTTCACAGGGTAGTTCCTCTGTGCTTACTCATGTCCTATTTCTCTTCTTAGACACCAGTCATACTGCATACACCCACCTAAAAGAGCTCTTTTTATCTCAATTACCTCTTTAAAGGCTCTATCTCCAAATATAATCATACTGTGAGGTACTGGGGCATAGGATTATAACATATGATTATAACAATTCATCCCATATCAACTACACAGATGTTCATCAAATTTTCTTTTTCAAAACTGGCTTGGTTTAAAACACACAAAAAAAGCCAAATCCATGTAAAAAAAAATTTGAATAGAAATCATTTCAGAAACAATGAGGCACCAGAGGAGAGATATGGGGGAAAGAGTTCTTTGGTGCTCATATATTTAAGTATTATGGGATATCTTATATGCTATGACATCACACTAGGCCTAATATTTCAATACTTATAACATGTTTAAGTTCTGCTTTATTTATAATACAATTATTGGCCTTCATTTAGGCATTAAGCAATATAAAAATGTTTAGAATTTATATAGGAAATTTTGGCCATTAGTAATAATGAAACCATAATTTTGTTATTGCCTTGAATATTTACTTTTATAGAAGTGTATATGTACGTATTATATGTAACATATGTACGTTACTTATACATTTTTTTAATGTTACATTTAATTGTATTCAATGAAGTATTAGATCAACACATATGAGTGAAACAATATGATATACTAGAAATAATCTAAAATTTCTTTTGTACCAAATTCTCACCAGAAATATGGGGCAAGCTCCTTAGCCGCCCACTGCTCTGTTTTATTAACCTTAAAGCATAATTTAAATATTAGGAATCTTTGAACTATGGGTTGGATGAGTTATACATTAAAACTCATCACTTCTACCAGATAAGAGGAGCCAGACAAGCATTTCTTAGGTGCAAATGTCAAAATTCTTCTGCCAATTGAAGAGCAGAGGTATATATATGAAAAGAGATAAAAACTTGTTAAAATAATTGCCTAGATCTTGAGCCAAACAGGATAAACAAATGGTTGGAAGAAAAAATTAGAAGGGATGTGTTATTGCCCACAAAAACCCTTGGAAAAGTTTCAGTAACTATTTTATTAAAAATGGGAATTCCTAAAATTAGATGTCAATGTGCAGGCCTTATATATGGAGTGGTCCCTAACTTATTACTAGATCTGAAGAAAGAGTTGATTAAATGTCAATAAACAGCCTGAGTTTGATTACTAAGGAAAGAGACGTGTGTATGTGGTGGTAGGGGTATGCTATTTTCATACATTACTCCTTCCTTGATTTTTTTTTTTTT